ATATACTTTGTATACAACCAGAGATATGAACAATTGTGTTCTATATGTATAATATGAATTGTAATGCATTCTGCTGTCATATATAACACAGTAGAATAAAAAAAATTTTTAAAAAATAAGTATAAAATGAATGTTTTCCACCTTCTAAAGACAAACCACAGGACTGACCTGTTCAAGAATCTTTTATATTTATTAGTAAAGCTGAAATTCAAAGAGGATTTTTTTCCTAAAATAACTTTGACCTGAAGGATAGCAAGTGTCTTTGATGTCTTTAGATAAGAAATAATGGAAACAAGGACATACATCTACTAATTTTATAACTCAGAGACTATGAAAAAGAACATATTAATTAACTCTTTTATTTGCAAATTGAAAAGTAGATTTAAATTATGTTTCCCTGAGTAATTGTTCTATTTATGTGTACATGTCCTGCTCATATACATATGTAGCTGAATGTCCTCCTCCAGCTTGGTGTGGGGAGAGGTGAGACAGACCCCAACACAGGCAGAGATGTGAGGAGCCCCTGGGGTGGGGAGGTTGGACCTGAGTTTGCAAGGATATTCACCATAGAGGAGCACTCCAGGGAGCTGATGGTTGGCAGTGAGAGTAGTTTTGTCTAGCTACAGTTTGTTTCTGAGTGTTTGAAAGCAATTTCAAAGCCTGCTTGCTCTTCTGTTAAGTAAATAAAGGCTTAGGGTCAACCCCAAAGAACAGCTAATCAGATTATGTTCACTGGTAGCAGATTTAGTTGTGAATATAATTCCCGTATGAAATTGTTCTGAGCCATGGGTTCACCCTGCTTGGTGGACAAATATGAGATTTGCCAGGAGACGACACGTTAGGGGATCTTACCGTCCTTTTTGAAGTGCTAGTGCCAGGAAGATCTTAGGGACCATAGTTAAAGATATTTTGAATTTATTTTTTTTAATTGTTATTATTTTAGTTGTAGATGGACACAATAGCTTTATTTTATTTTATGTGGTGCTAAGAATGGAACCCAGGGCCTCACACATGCTAGGCAAGCTCTCCATCACTGAGCCACAACCACAGCCCCATATTTTGAATTTATTAACTCAAAAGATACAGGTTTCACCTTCTAAGTAAGCCCCAGAGAAAAACAAATGAAATTGCATAAAAATAATCTTGTGGAGAGGCCATGGGCTTAGAGCCAGCCAACCTGGCTGCTTTGAATTCTGCCTCTGGCAATTAGGCATAGAAGGACAACTGGACCAGTTTTTTCTTAAGCTTCAGGACTATCTTGTGCCTTATATGTAAGTTATAGGGATCAATACACTCCAACAATGTTGTGAATAATTGAGATACATATGAGAGACCTCCAAGTAATTACCAAATATATGTTTTCTTCTTCCATATTGATTCTATAGACATTTAGCTAGGCATTTGTTACACACGAAGCACTTTGCTAGGTATTTGGCAGAAGCAAAGAAGAATAAGGCCTATATTTAGCTTAGAGAGCTTACACTGAAGTGGGGAAGATAGGAATGCCTGTGACTGCAACCCACCAGCTCCGGCCACATTGGCCTCCATGCTGTTCTTGGAACATTCAAGCTTGTTCCTGCCTTAGCACTGCACTCTGTCCCCTCTCTCCAGGCCTCTTATCTCCTACTCATTCACCTCCTGCAGAGCTATACTCACATATCATCTTCTCAGTGAGACTTTGCCTGATCACTCTGTTTACAAATTCCTGGGGGCTGTTAATCTTGATCCATCTTCCCCATTTGGTATTTTTTCTTTGCCATAATTAATATGTTTGTGAGTGTGTGTGTATGTGTGTGTTTTCTGTCACCTGTGTTCCTTTTATCTCTTCAGTGTAAACACCATGACTGATTCTTTTCTGCCCATCCCATTGCCTACAACAGTAGGCTCTTAGTAAATGTTAATGAAATAAATGATCGAATTAACTAATTTCAATTACAGAGAGGGATAGGTGTGAAATTCCAATGGTTAGAAGTAGTACAGAAGGTATGTTAGAGCCTGTATTTAGATTTTTGCTGCTGTTCTGTCAAATGATCTTGAATTTGGTGCTTAAACAATACAAATGTATTATTTTACATTTCTGTGGGCCAGAAGCCTGACACAAGTCTCACTGGGTCAGAATCAAGGTGTCAATGGGGCTGGCTTTCCTTTGAATAAGATATTTTCCCTAGAGCCTAAGGTTTTGACTGCCAGTAACAAAATATAAAATGGGAACATTTAATTATGAACGACTGTGATTGTTGAGTAAGGAGAACAGGGTGATCAAACGGACACTAAATTGGCTTTGAGTGGGGATTCAGAGGGAGACTGATACCTCCTTTCTCAAAGACATTTGATTACCTTTGCCTTTCTATGTATAAAAAGCTAAGTATGGATTTAGAATTTCCTAGAAGTAAGATGTACTTATGGTATCTTTTTAAAAACTACTTTATTGTGTTTTGTCTGTGTTTAGCACACATGCATAGAGGCCATAAAGCCCAGGTTCATAGGCACACTCAACAACACTCACATCTCCTTATGTGTATAGCTACTGCCTCGCCTACTATTGGGATCTCACTTCTGTGGTTCTCAGTGACCTGTTTTTTTCTCCCCTGTCTCAATACACCTGAGGGATTTGTATCTCTCCACTAGCAACACAGACTTCCTCTGGCAGTGCTCTCACAGAGACCATTCTGTCCCCCCAGTAGGCACATTCAGGATCTCTAGGGAAATGCATGTAATGTGAAAAATGTCCTCCTTCACCTTTCCTATCACCCCACACTGGCCATGATTCAACTTCCTAGGGTGGTTCTCCTTCCTGACTCCCATGAAATCATGTGGACATGGAACATCTGGATTGAATAGTGTCTGTTGAGCATTTCCTGCTTTTTGAGTAACATTAAAAGTAGTGTTGTCCATCAGAACTCCCCACGGTAACAGCACTGCCCAATATCTGTGCTGTCCAATGTGGTTATCATAACACTTGTAGCTGTTGAACTCTTGAAATGTGGCTGGGACAATTTAGGGGCTGGACTTTTTATTGCATTTAATGGGACTAACCTAAATTTAAATAGTAGGTTGGGGCCATAGCTCAGTGGTAAAACACTTGCCTAGCATATGTGAGGCATTAGGTTCAATCCTCAGCACCATATAAAAATAAATAAATAAAATAAAGGTATCATGTCCATCTGCAACTAAAAAAAATATTTTTAAAAAATGTAATAGCCACTTGTAGCTACTATATTGGATAGTACAGCTTTCCAACTTTTTTGTTTCCAAGAATAAGACTTGCCGAATATTTATTTCCAAGAATAAGACTTGCCAAACATGCTAAGGAGTTCATAATGATGTCTACAAGAAGTAGCCATGTATGTGACAGGAACACAGCCTTTCAGAATCAAACAGACCTGGTTTTTAAGTGTTGGCTCCATGCTTGTGAGTTTGGGGCAAGTCACATAATCTCTCTGAATCTGGTTTTCAAATTTAGTGTAATATCAGGGAAGGGAATAGCAGATGCCCTCTGACCTGGTGGGGAAGAATATTTTACCTCTAAGTTGTTTGGAGTTATTAAATGGTGGTAAAAATCAGATCTACCTTCTGTTGGTTTTATTTTTATTTCTTAACATTCTAAAGACTTGGTACCCTCTCATTGCCTGACCTGGGGTACCCTGTGCCCATTCCCCACCTGTGTAATTGCATCAGGAATGATCTTATATACATAAGAGAACTATGTGAAGATAAAATGGAACAATATTAGTAAAGTACTGGTACCATTACACATATTTTTTGGTCATTTACTCAACAGGTATTGATTGAACACCTGCCTTATGCTCAGCACTGTGCTAGATACTGGAGATACAATGGCAAACAGAAAAATAGAAGACCTCCTTACCAAGTGGGAGAATAGGCATTTAATAAAAACTAAAATTTTTATTTTGATTGCTTTTTTAAGGAAGGTTGTTTGTTTTGTTTTTAGTTTTTATGGAACTTGGAGTTGGTTTACATGGATCTAGTTTATGTATCTTCCTTTATCCTAGCTTGCTTGATAACAGACTTAATGAAAGTGCTATCTGAAGGCCCCCTAGCAAATAATTCTTTTTCTTACCTCTTTTCCCTTTAGGTTTTTTAAAAATCACAGTTTTATTAAGAGATAATCCACATATAATACAATTCACTAAGTTTAAAGCATGCAATTCAATGGTTTTTCGTCTTTCTACAGAGTTATGCAATCAATATCACAGTCAATTTTAGAACCTTTTTTTATTATCCCAAAAGGGAAAACTTACCCATTAGCAGTCACTCCCCAGTTCCTGCTATGTCCTCACCCTGTGCAACCACTAATCTACTTTCTGTCTCTGTGGATTTGCCTCTTTTGGACATTTCATATAAATGGAATTATACAACATATGGTCTTTTTTTGATTGCCTTCTTTTATTAGTATAATGTTTTCAAGGTCCATCCATATTGTAGCATGTACTAGTCTCTCATTTATTTTATTGTGGGATAATATTCCATTGTATGAATATTTTATTTATTTATCCATCCATCAATTGATGGAAATTGGAATTGTTTCTACTTCAGCTTTTATGAACAATGTCACTGTGAACATTTGTGAATGTATGTTTTCATTTCTCTTTGTTATAAATCTAGGAGTGGAATTGTTAATGTAGTAACTAACTGGTAATCTGGTAACTCTGTGTTTAATCTTTTGAGGACTAAAAAGACTGTTTTTCAAAGCTGTACCATTTTGTATTGCCACAAGCAGTGTATGAGCCTTTCAGTTCTGTACATCCTTACTGATAGTTATTCCCTGTTATCTTTTTGATTGTAACTGTTAGCAGGTGTAAAATAATATCTCACTGTGGTTTTGATTTGTATTTCCCTGATGACTAATGATGTGAAGCATCTTTTCTTGTGCTTGTAGGCCATTTGTATATCTTCTTTGGAGAAATGTCTGTGCAGTTATTTCCCCATTTTTTAATTGGATTGTTTTTCTTTGCTCTCTTTTAATTTGGCTTGAGCAGGATGCTGATATGCTAACTGGCGATGAGCAAGTCTGGAAGGAAGTTCAAGAATCCCTGAAAAAAATTGAAGAACTGAAGGCACATTGGAGTATCCTTTCACCTGTGGATTGGATTAACTGTTGGCATTGCTTCTTTATTGTTGGAAGTGTGGTATTAATAAGGTCAAGAGCAGGATTTAAATTCTCCATAAGTTTCTTTCTGTTCCATGGCCATAAGCTGCATCTCTAACCCCAGCCAGCAATTTAGGTTAATGGCTGGGAAAGATCTGGTAATATCACCAGTTAGAGTAGGAGGGCAAATAGTAGTTTTTTTATATAAAAGAGGTAACCAATTTCTAATTGCCTTCCTCCCATGGCCACCTTCATCTCTAGGAAAGAATAGAATCCTTATAACTTAATGCCATTGACCCTCAGACTTAGAAGCTACATAATAAATCAGCCACAATGACAGCAGCAATAGGGAGTTGCTATATAATAAATTCTTACCATAAATAGTAAGCTCCATGAGTGGGTCAAAGTTCAGAGCAAAGGGAGATAGCATGTGACAGAGGTCCCCTGGGAAGCTCCATTGATGCTCTCCTGTGTAAAACATGTCCCAAATAAGGACAGGATCTGGATAGATAGCAGCAGAGAGGGAGGCTACCTATTCCCAGTGGAAGATTTCACGTGAGCAAAAATGTGACAAAGGGAAACCACAGATAAGAACAAGATTGAAGGTTGAAAAAAGATCAATAGCTGAATTGGGTTAATTATAATTCAGGTCATGAGAAAATTTGCAAAAGAATTTTTTAATCTACAAACAATGTTTTTTAAATAACTTAAAGAATAAGAAAGGTAAGTAGGTGGATGTTTCTACTTTGAAAGGTGAAATATGTAATTTCAGAAATCTGTAGCCCAGTAAGTTTGTTAACAGTCTCATTAAAGAATCTAGAATTGCTTACTAAAAGAGCAGAATCACCTGCAATCACCAGGACATGGTATGGATTCATTAAGAACAAGTTTTTTATCTAAATTTCATAAAGGACTTGAAAACAAGTAGTCAAGAAATTTATGCTAGATACTGACAGAATCCATGTAATAGGTATACTGAGAGAATGATGCTACCTGGGTCACTGTCATCCTGGAGTGCTTTGTTCCCATCTCAGTCCTCCTCAACCTTTGTTTCAGTGCCTTGAATGAAGATAACCGAACACAGGTTCATGAGCTATCCAAAGATGTGTAGATGGGAAAGACAGCAGAGGTGCAATGATAGCATCAAGAGCCTAATCGATCCCTGAAACTCTGAATGGCATCTGAGCTTCAAAAGATGAAATTTGACAGGAGTATATGTAAACTCTTCTCTTTGGATCAAAAAGTTCAAGTGTATATGTATGCAGAAAGCTTAGCAGCAGAAAATATGAGAGGATTTTAGGCTCTGATAAACAGTGAATACTAATAAAATGTAGGAGTATGACCCAACCCTCCAAAAGACAACTTTGATTTTATGTATTCAATGAAATGTAGAGTATAAAATGAGAAAGGGGATAGCATTGGTCTGATCATATCTGGAATTTTATATTCAGTTTGGGATAGGACATATTATGAGGGATGCAGAAAAACGGAAATAAGCTCTGAGGAGCGGAAACAGAGCCAAGGTGGAATTTGAAACCCCATCTAGAGATGGAATGGAAGATACTGATTGGGAGAACAGCCAGCTCTGGGAGCAAGAGGTCCACATTCATGGGCTCCAGGAGCTATTTCACTGCAGAGGTGGAGACCTGTTCTCTGAGGTCTAATGCAGTGGGATCAGGACCTCTGAATGACTCAACTATAGCCCAGTCTCACCTGGACAGGTTTTACTGAAAACTGACTCTATGCCAGTGACCTTGCAAATCATAATCCACCTTATGATTCATGCTGAAGTTAGAAGACACAGCCCTGCATTCAAATCTGTCACACAAAATGGAATAATAAACATGTAAATTAATTCATGCTATAGTTTGGATATGTATCCCTCAAAGTTCCATCTGAAAAAGCTCAGTCCCCAGTGTGGCAGCAGTGGTAGATGCTATGGACCTTTCAGAGGAGAACCTGTGAAAAGTCCTCAGGTCACTGTGGGCCTGCCTTTAAAGGAGGTTATGGCACCCGGGTCTCTTAATCTCCATCTGCTTCCTGGCTCAGACATGAATGCTGTGGGTTTCTACCATTGCCATCCCTCACCAGCAGCCAACCAATGGAACTGCCCAGTCTTGGATGTGAACCTCCAGAACCATGAGTTAAAGTAAACCTGTCTTCACTTAATAAATAGTCTATGTCAGATATTTCGTTATAGAGATGCCAAACTGACTAATACAATACATATCACACACACACACACACATACACATGCACACATATATATTTATAGGAGCAACAGCTGCACAGAAGTCAATTTTATGAGGTTAAAGAAGGTTTCACAGAGCTATATCAAGGAGGAAGAGGTGGCATTCGCCAGGCCAGTTATAGAAGGGGGATTCCAATAGAGAGGAGAGTTATGTAGATGCACAGAACAAAGAGGCACGCTGTGGAGAGATGGCCAGTTGTTCAGCGTGAGTGGCAAGGCCTCCAATGCCATGCACAGGAGAACAGAATTTCAAGGTGAGGGGACCCTGGTGGTTTTACGCAGGACAGTAATATAATTAGGTAAGAGCTTTGTGGTCTGACAGTCTAAGAGTTTCAAGAGGTTGATTAATTCCCAAATGAATTGACTTGGCTCCCTTTGCTGTTTTCCCCTAATCCTTTTATGATTATTTAAAAGTAAAAGGTATCTATCCTGCTTATTGGTGATCCATTTTCTTTGATTCGGCCACCTAGCCCTGCTTCGGTCCAGGGCTCACTGTGAATAAAGTGACTTATAGTAAACATGCAGATGCCAGAGACTAAATCCTTGAGCAAATACACATCACATTAACTTGGAGAAAAAACCTCTTAAAGCTTAAGTTATTCTCTCTTTTTTTCTCTCTTTTTTGCTCTCACTGGGGTGTTTTCTAGGAAAGGTTTTGCCTCTCCTTGCCAGGAGATGATTGCCAGGGTTGTGGAGGGGAATGACACGTAGTTCTTCCTAGCTCGCAGGGAAATGCAGTGGATGTATTCCTGTGAGTGGCTACAGGACATCACATCTGGTTCCAGCTGCTAAGGCTTGTCACCTCAAACCTCTTTAGAATGAGTTGGAACACATAGAAATTAATAGGCAAATAACAGTGGAGGTCATGCAATACATTGTTAAAATAAGGTACAAGTCTCGCCACAGAAATGTCTAGTGTTGTATAAGAGACAATCATTCCTCCTGACAGTTCGTCAAATATCTAATCCTGGAATGAAAAGCCACAGAGGTTAGCCAGGCAATCTGTTACAAAATCAGTGCATTGCCTAAGATACGCTTCCCCCCAGTCCCTGGGGAACACATTCAGCAAACTTTAAACATCCATGTCAGATGAATACAAAAGAAAATCACTAATTCATTTTTCTTCAATAAATATACCTCTTATGGGACCAGAGTCAACTCCTTAGAGCAGGACTTGTCCTAAAATAATAAGGGTATGACATAAAGGGCCCTCAGCCAAGCTCTATCAGGCTTTAAATTCCCACTAACGAAGTCATGCCTCAGGGTAGGGTGTTCTGCCTCAGCTGAAAGGAAATATGTTTCCTGTGAGGGTTCATAAAGCTATTGGTGCCCACTCATACAAGTGGCTTGATTGGTTTGGTAAAAGCAGTTTCTGAAGTCTTGGGAAGCAGTGTCTGAAGCGTATGGACACTGGAAAGGTAGATTTTGCTAGAGAGGAATAAAGGAGTATGTTCCCAGTGGGCTCTCTGTTCAGGGTGGGTCTTGCAGTGTCAGGATGTCAGAGAAGAGGGCTGGAGTTGGGGGCAAGGTTGGAGCACAGATGGCTGGGTTGCCAAGAGACTGGATCCTGTGGGAATGGAGAGGTAGGAGTGGGGGAAGTTCCATCAAACCAGGTTCTCTGTCCCTTTTCCTTAACTCTAGTCTTGCTCAGAAATCTGACAGAAAAGACAGAGGAATGCAATAATATCTGTGTAGCATTGTACATGCCAATAGGTGTTTTCCCTCTGTGTCCATAATGCATGGAGCTCTGTCCGGCTCATGGTAGCACACATGAAGACTCTATCCAATTTATTTACAGTATTTTATTAAATAATTAAAACGATATTAGGCATTTCTATTTCTAGCCAATCTCAAAGCACTTGGACTTCTCAGAACCTCAAATCTGACAAATGACAGAACAAGCTTAGATTTGAATCCAGCTTTATCGCTGATCAAAGGCTATGCCATTTCTGCTGTTTCTGAAATCTTCAAACATTTCCCCCCAACTGGAATCCCAACATGAAAGCAGATGAATGCAGAGTTATGCTGGCTGAAGGTAGAATAGGGTTGGGAGAAGGGCCAATGCCAACATAATATCCTCCTCGGCTCTGCCAGGCCAAATACAGCAGCATAGCAGAGAAACTGTGAGAGGTCCCAGGGCCCCACAATCCCGCCTTCCGCTCTGCTCCTGAGCTAATTCACCTTGGAGAGATTCAAGGCACGCTCAGTACACCACATCTTCCATCCTCTTGCTGCCTCTGATATTTTCTGACTGAAAAGATAAAGTTAAAAGCTGGTCACAGTGGCATATGCCTGAAGTCCCAGCTATTCAGGAGGCTGAGGCATGAGGATCACTTGAGCCCAGGAGTTCAAGATCAGCCTGGGCAACATAGCAGGACCCTCTACTCTTGAATGAATGAATGAATGAAAGAGAGAGAGAAAGTGAGATCACACTGAGGCTCCATGAGGTTCAGTTGTTGACTCATGGTTAATCGGAAAGATGGTATTGCTCAGAAGCAGGTACTGGGTCTCTTGTCCTCATTAAAGATGCATTTCTCCTCACTTGGTTTATATGCATAAACCATGTTCTTAATGCTTTTATTTCATCAAATAAGAATAACTTTATTTGGTTAAGTTTAGGTTTGGGTCACTTTTGCTTTATAAGAAAAATAAATATAAGATACATTGGAAATGAATTTCTTTGCATTATTGCCCATAGCATGTTCCTATGAGTTGTGTGTTTTGTTTCATGTATGCCAAAGACTCACACAGCACAGAAGCACACATATGCTCCTCCTTTTGCAAAAGAAATCTCTTTAAATCTTCTTTAATTTCAAATCAACTTTTAAACAGAAGCTAATGAAGTAATAAATAGTTATATATGGAACTAAATCTTAATCCAGTTTAATTAACAGCCTCATTCACTTCAGGACTAGTTAAAGAGAGTGTGGAGTGTGAAGAAAGAACTGTTCTTTGGCAATTTTAATCTTCCAAAGCATAGGCTTGGTTAGAAGATGGTTTGTTGATGTAAACAGAATTTACTTTGCTGAGATGCCACTTACATGTTTTTGTTTCTCAAGAATGTTTTCAGGCAGCTCATCTGTGCAAAATAATGGGCACTCCCTTCCCTCCTGTGCCTGGGCGCTCTTCATCCTTTTTGAGAGTCTCATTTTGCTTTTGTTTTTTCCTCCATGAAGACAATGAATCCTTAACTAAGGTTAATAACAGAGTGGGAACAGGTTCTGGCCATGTGCCAGGCGATCATAAGCAGCAACTCTGAACGGCTTCCTGATATCAACATCTACCAGCTGAAGGTGCTCGACTGTGCCATGGATGCCTGCATCAACCTCGGGCTGTTGGAAGAGGCGCTCTTCTATGGGATTCGGACCATGGAGCCCTACCGGTGAGTCCCAGGAGAGAGCCAGAGCACAAGCTAGAATATTTTTTTGTTGGGCAAAGGATCAAGAATGTGGGGTCTGCTGGGTGTGGTGATGCACGCCTGTGATCCCAGTGGCTCAGGAGGCTGAGTTAGGATGATTGAGAGTTCAAAGCCAACCTCAGCAAAGGTGAGGGGCTTAGCAACTCAGTGAGACCCTTTCTCTAAATAAAATACAGAATAGGCTGAGGATGTGGCTCAGTGGTTGAGTGTCCCTGAGTTCAATATCTGGTACCAAAAAAAGAAAAAGAAGAGTGTGGATTCTATCTGATTGCCATTTCATATCAGGTGTTCCTAGCTGCTTCTCAGTGTGTAACACCAAACCCCATTTTATTCATTCCTTTGTGCATTTGACTGTGTGTTTATGTCAGGCATGGTGGTTGGACAGAGACTAAGTTAGACATCTTCAATGTGGAGCAGATGATTATGGTACAGTGTGTGCTTACAGTGACAGATGCAAGCACAAGGTACCAGAGAGGAGCACATGGCTTGGGACATTGTGTCACTAGCCTTACCAAACACTGGTCCCAGTGAGAATGGCTGCTGTGTAATCTTGAGTCTGGCAATAATGACAGTCTTTTCCATTTTTCAGTCCTTATGTTTCCCAGAATGCTTTCACCTGAATCTTGCTCTCATAGCCACCTTATGATCTAGGCCTAAGAGCAGGGACACCACCCTGCTCAGGCTGTCATTGAGTCTAATGAAGCAACTGTTGGTTTAGCTCCTCCAGAGTGAGGGGTGGGTGTTTTGCCCCATAAGTTCTTGTAACTCAGAGGAGCTTTGGGAGGGAGGGCAGAGTTGGAGTCAAGGGCTGATGGGTTGGCTCTGGTGAGAGGGGTTCTAGTTTGCCAGGTTAAAAATACAAGTCTGAACATGGAGACCAAGATCAGTCCAAGGAAGAGGGCACAGAAACATATGAACTATAATCTGAGTTTGGAATAACCCAGTCTCCAGCACAGAACAAGGTCACTTTAACAAGGTGCCTTGAAAGCGCTTGACACTAGAGCAGGGGCAGTCCCTGGAAAGCAGGAGTACCATTCTAGGAGGATGTTGAATTTCCCAGCTCTGCAGACCATGGAAGCACAGTATCAGCCCAAGGGACCAAGCAGAAGGAACACCCAGGTCTAGACCTCTGCAACATGGAAAACAGGCAGAGGGGTGGCTCTAAGTGAAGCAGAAGGAGGGAGGGAGACAGCACCCCATGTCATCCCTGTCCTACTGGAGGAATTGCCTCAGGAGACAACTTGGGGTGGGGCACCATTGCCAGGATCTGTACTGTAGGAAAAGAAGCAAGTCCAGGGTCTAGGATATTCATGCAGACAAAGGTAGAAAGCCAGAAATGAAGCACTTGGTCAGAAATCCAGACCTGGGCCAGTAGTTGGTGCAGGAAGAGAGGAACCTGAAGATGGCAAAGGCCCCATCAGCCAGGTGAACGGCAGAGGTCATAAGCCAGCTGAACCATTTGCTGTGGTACCAGCATGACCCTGAGGGAATTTTCAGATTTTTGTAGGTGGTTTCCTTCACTGCCTTGTGGGTGAACAGCTTTGGAATCCAGACTGTGAGTCAGCTTTAATCAAACTTATAAGAGATTGCCTTGAGGGCTGAGACTGTAGACTTTCCCATGAGCAGTGAAATATCTATTCAGTATGATGAATCTTGTGGGTTCTCAGAAAATATGAATTGAATAGAGAGATAAAGCTTCATTCTCAGAGCCTTGGTGTTGCAATGTGAGGCAGATCGGGGATGGTTGGCGTTAACTCTCTGAACTCTTGGCCTAGGAAGCCAAACTGCTGCTGGGAGAGTGGATGGACTCCAGCCAGGAGCTGCAGACAGAAAGGCCTCCTTCCAGGCCACCTCAGCAGCTGCTGGCCCCACATTCCTGGCAAGTGCTGCCAACCCTTCCTGCCCCATCTTCCCTTCCTTTTGAGTCCAGGCTGTTTTGCTCAGACCACACTGAAGCACAGCAATTTTAAATCAGTGCACACTTACATAAAGAAGGCCACACACCTTCAAGGATGCCCATTCTGCACCTATTTTTGTATCCTATTTTTGTGCTTCTGCAAAGCACCGACTTACCCCTTAATTAACTGGCAGTCTGACTGACCAACTTTTGAGTCAAAGAGGTCTTTCTTATAGATGAGGAATAGTCCTCCAGAATATACGTACCTCATATGTTCAGAAAATGTTTGGGTATATTTTTTCTGGTGTTTGGCAGGTCACATTATCTCTGTAAATGTGAACTTTGTTCTTATACTGGTGACAAATTTCCCAGCCTCCCCCAGTTTCTCTTCCCTGGGGCTTGTTAAGGAGTTGCTAAGCAGTGAGCTGCATTGATCCACTTCAAATGAATGAGAGTTGAACCATTTGCTGACAAAGTTGTAGACAAGGAAAAGACTCTAAACAATCCAGAACCAACAAAGAGAAACAGGAGCATTACGTGCCCTCATATTTTGTCCTTTTACCTTTAGCTCAGGCAAAAATGAAAGTGAGGATTGTGCACAACCATTTGATGCCCTGTACACGCTCTAACAGTCTTAGAATGTGAGCTAGGAATGTGGAAGCTGGCAGCTGGTGTTTGTCCCTCTTGTGTGCGTGAGGGACTTTACACTATGTGCTGTCAACCATCTCCATGGGTGACCTGCAGCTGGTTCAAGTGGGTGTTTTGCTCAACTTTCACCAAGGACGTGGACTGTTAGCTAGGCACGGGTTACCAAGAGGTGACTACATTGCCATCTGCTCTAACAGTTTTACAATGTTAATATACTGTTTCCAATACCTAGATTGAGGTCAATTCTCCAGCAAGCACTTTGTCACTCCGACCTTGGCTAAAGTTTAGCTGCTGATCTTAAAGGACATGGGGTCCATATTCCATTTCTATCCAAATCACTGCTCTCAGCATCCTTCCTGCTACCCTGTCATTTACTTTTACTCAATGGATTTTACTCGGTTTTTATGATACAATTTAATTCTTTATGTTTCAAAAAGCACGTTGGAAATAATTCATGTACAACGAAATGTGTAGTCTTTAGTATTAGCTGATAATATGTCTTCTGAAAGTAACTGTATGTATGTGTCCAGTGTTGTATACAAGTATTGCTATGTCCTTTCACGTTAAACACACTAAACATAATGAAAATAATTTTAAGTTTTAATAACTTTTATTATATAAAAGTTTAAGTCAGTCAAATCTTAATCATAAGATAGCTCAGGTTCTAAAAAAAGCTTGCCAAAAAATGGTTTACTACATGGAATGCATTTTCCTCCTAAAGATAGTATTATCTATCATGGGGAGTTCGTAGACCAGCTCAGGAATATCTACTCACCCTATAATATCACCAAGGTATGCTGTAAATTTCAAAAAGAGAGAGAGACAGAAATACAAAAGCAAAACTGAGCACAAGTTGTTTTAAATGAAGTTGCATATTAGGTTTAGTACTAATTAAACTTGACTTTTCTAGGAACTGGAGAGTGGTAAGTAGATACAGAGGCTTTCTCGGGTAAGGGACTTTCAGTATGTTCACACATATTCTGCTTATTTTTGTTGTGAGAATAGTTGAAACTTCCAGGGAAGGGTATTTTCTAAAGGATAGTTTATAACACAGTAGCAAATGACTAATATGAATGGTTTGTAAAGTGAAAAGGTTTATTTTGGCTCAGGGTTTTCGAAGTTTCATTCTATGATCAGTTGACCCTGTTGGTTTCAGGCCTGTGGCAAAGCAGACTATCATGGTGGGAGATTGTGACTGAGCAAATAGCAGTTCACCTCATGGCATTGGAGTGAATGAGGAGGAGAAATGGGCAGGTGCCCCATAGTTCCCTTCAAGGACATGCTCCCAATACCAGGAGTTTACCCACTAAGCACCATCTGTTCAAGGTCCCACTGTCTTATTAGCGTTACCTTGAGGACCAAGCCTTTAACCCCTGTGCCTTTGAGGGACTTTTTAGACGCAACTATACCAGATAAAGGTAAAAATCACTCTCATCCAGACTTTTTTCCCACTCCCTAAAAATAACCAATGCTATAAGTTTGTTTACTGAAATTTTCTGTGAATGGCCAGTGTGAATATATTCTAAAACTCCCCATGACTATATATATCTTCCATCTTTTCCTGGGAGAGAGAGAGAGAGAGAGAGAGAGATAGTAATCCCAACATTTTTCAGGGTCTTTCAAAGAGCATAAACAATGGTTGTGTTTATAATATACTGTTATTTCTTTAAAGCCCCTATTTCCCTCCTTCTTTTTACTGTTCACCCAGATACTCTCATACCCTCACAACTCTTCCCTTCAAAACTGTCCACTTCCTCCACCTTTCCATACTTTCTGCTTCTCCTCATCTTTGTGGTGGAAGACTTAGTCCCCAATCAATCTGTTAAATATGCCTAGTATGGTAGCAAGTAGGGGAATAGGAATGAGAAGGAATAAAGAGAAGGAAAAGCTGAGAATTCTCCTTGTGGGCATAAAGAAGGGGGGAAATGGGATCATTCTCTAGCTCAAGTTTATAACTTGCTTTTTTCACTTTTCAGTAGGATGTAACTACTTATGTACTTCATTCTTTCTAACAGATATGTAATATTTCCTCTCATGAGTATATTATAATTTTATATCAATCCCTTTTGTTTCCGCTCTTGTTTATCATGTCAAACAATGCTATTGAATTAAACTACAAGCATCCCTATAGTGGAGTGTGGAAGTGTAGCTCTTACCTAACATCTGCAAGGCCCCTGGCTTCACTCCCCAGCACCACATGTACCAAACAGACAAACAAATCCATGTACTTGTATCTTAGTGTACCAATGTGTCTGCATCCTTAGGGTAAGTCCATATGGTAGATCCCTAAATGTTAACTTGCTATATCATAAATTATACTCATCTTTAAATTTGGATAATTGTCACCAGATTGCTCCCACCACCACCACCAAAATGTCACTCCTCAAGAGAATGTGAGAAAGGATGACATCCATTGATG